GGCCCTGACTGTAGAATGGATTCAAAAGAAATACACCACTGAATAATTATCTCAATACTCTCATAAATATTTAACAAATCTTTTAACTTGATCGGCATTTCTGTATGTACATTGCAATGTTTGTAAATACAGCTGATTTCACGTTAAGGTTGATAATGACTTCACATATTTAATGAATATTCATGATGTATGGGTCACAGATAATGGAATTTTTCTCACTTGATATACCTACCTGAGTAACGGAACTTTCTTAATTCTAATGTAAAAAAAAAGTTTAAAACAACAGTTTTTTAAACAAAACTTTACCTGGCAGGGGTTAAAAACTCCACTAGCCCGACAGCCGGGACTTAAACATTTACACCTCGGGCAATCAAAATTTGTCATCAATATGCCAGACGAACTAGTAAAAAAAGTTCTTGGTGTTACCAAAATAGAAATAGAAAATCCCTTTCTTACTATTTTAATCTTAACCAATCGGATTCAATGACTTCATTTAGGATTCCAAGAATTTAACCAGATTTTTTACATGTTTTAAAAATAGGACGAATAACTGGGTGGTCCGGTATCATGTAATGATCACAATTCCCGTACTTTCACTATCTCCAAGGGGGGGGGGTTGGATCCGGGGGTTGGAACCCCCTTTTTTTTTACGATCAATGCATTTGAATGGGGACATACAGTTGGAACCCCTCCCTTTATCCTTGGTTGGGAACCCCCCTTTTAAAAATGGCTGGATCCGCCCCTGTGATTTCTCTGTTTTTTGGGGGAATTGTACATTGCTCAAACCGAGACTTTCAATTAACGGTACTGGAGGTATGATGCATTGATTGATATGACCTGTTACTTAGTTAAAATGTTTTAGCCTTTCAGAAATACATAACATACACGGATTTTTGGTGTCCATCTTTGGTCCATGTCATACCATTGTCAAGTCAACATCCGGTATAAGGAAATGTGCTTTTAAAAAGAAAGTACAGTTCTGACAGCGTGATATTGCATTAATAAAGAGTCAAAGGCAGATTTTAGTACACTTATATGTTATGATGCACTGTCAATTCAACAGTTTACGTCAAAACATCAAATTTATTTTAAAAGTCTGAAGTTTAATATCGTTTTTTTATGTCTATCATTGTTATGATGCCAACGCCAACATTTTCCCAATGATTGCCTTTGATACTAAGTCTTACGGGATTGAAATATGAATCAGAAGAAAATGTTCAGCTGACTCAAATATTTGTTTTTAAGCCCGGGCTGGCAGGTCTGTTTTGTTGGGCTATCAGTTCTATCAACAGGACTAGTAAAATCCTGTTACCAATAAGCCCTGGGCTAGTGAGCTGTAACAAAATTTTTTAACCCCTGCCTGGTGAATTCTATTTTGACATTATTTTTTTTATTTTTGGGCAATTTTCGTTTTTACATATTTGGTGGGACCAGTCCTTATATACTAGTATTTACTATAGATAACCATACTGTTTATGGGGTCCATTAAAGTAGTACTCCAAATTGTTTGTAAAAAAATTCCCAGCATTTGTAATTTCTTGAGAAAAAGTATCTGAATTACATGAATTACAGAAACATATCTGATGTTGGTCCTGTATGTTAGGAATTTTATATATGATGTCATTTTCAATTAACAAAGAAATGCTATTTTCATGTAGCTTTTTCTTCTCCTTCTAAAGTATAGTTAAATTAACACATACTAATTTATACCTAAAAACAATGAATATACAAAGTTGGCTTATTACTGATTTTTGTACAGATACAAAAATCTGCCTGATTGATCTGAGGTAAGTTTCTCAAGAGAAGCCATTTTATTTTCTTTAAAATAGTATGTTGAATATGCTCTTGACTCATTTTAGTATGTACAAAGCTGGATAAATTTTCATCTTGAGCAAAATAAGGAGGTAATGATTTTATTAAGATTCTGGATTTCATCTTAACTTGATTTTACTGATCACAATTTAATTCTTCAGTATAGCACTGTGTTGGTTTGATATGTTAGTTTCATGTCACATACCTCATTGGTGAAATAACAGAAAGGCAACAAAATCATCCTTAGCTATGTTGGCTATGCATTAAATTTGTGTGTTCAGAAATAAGTTTTTTGTGAAATGTTTTGTGGACTTCTCTTAATTGCAACCCTGTTGTATTTACTTTAATTTTGTGATTTATTTATTACCCCTTGGTATCCTTGCCAGCAGTGAAAACATGACAAACAAATACCCACTCAACATTCGTTTCCTTTTCCTGTTCTGGTATTTCAAGATATAATTTGGTTGAAATGCACTATAAATTTCCAATTAACATGATTAAGGGGAGCTAACTCCATAATTTGCTATCATTCTAACCAAAAGTTGTCTATTTAAAGATTTCTCGAATTACCAGACACGCAAAAACGAAAGACTAACCAGTTCTAACCCAGGTCGAGGGTAACTTTAAAATAGGATGTTTGTTTCTGTCATGTTTTGAAGTTCTTCTAAATTGCCTGAGTTTTACAAAGTCTGGCACTTAAGGTGCCAAACTGACTTAGGAAATGCTGAAATGATTTTTTTTTGTCTAATTTTCTCATACTCTCTGACAATGTCTGAAAATTGAAAGAAGAAATGACTCAACATGCTGAAGGAAGGAACAAATTTAAAAGAATTGAATTAAATGAAAATATTTTTTTCATAATCATAATCATGATAATACATATGTAGTGAAAATTGGCTATGATGCTGATTATCCATGTAGAAGATTAAAATATTTATAATTTTTGACAATCTATTTTTAATTTCTAGGTTGAATTATCCAAGGATGTTTTAGCTCCTGCTGATGGACCAAGAGAAGAATTGGTAAGACAATAATTGATTATTTCAGGTTTAAGACAAAGCACTCAGTAAATTGATGTTAAGATAATTTATTTAAAGAAACTTTTGTGAGTAAAAAATGAAGATTTAGGGTATAATGAATATTTTTCTACACTCTTGGTAAATGTTATACCCACGCTCATAAGCATGATAAGCTAATAAATGAGTATTAATCAGTCTGCACCAAAACTTTTGAAGCCTATAAAGTTTTCAGATTATACTTGTCCTAAAAAAGTTTACAAGTCAGAATATGGCTGAATCAGCAATGGTGATTTGGAAATTTGAGAACATTTTGAAATTTTAGATGCAAAATCCTGCGATTGAGATTAACCAAAATCTCATGATATTGACCAGTTTCTGTTTGGATTCACTGTCAAAGGATAACTGTAATTTTTCAACCGTGTTTTGTTTACAAAATAAATTTGTCAACATTGATTCCTTGATGAATACTCTTTTATGTGCATTACTTAATAATTTGAATAGATATAATCAAATTCTCAATGAACAGAGAAAGGATGAAATTTTTTTTACTAGTCCAGTCGGGCTAGTGACAAAAGAATTTTACTAGTCCAGTCGGACTAGTGACAAAAGAATTTTACTAGTCCAGACGGGCTAGCTATAGTGACTAAAGAATTTTACTAGTCCGGTCGGGCTAGTGACAAAAGAATTTTACTTGTCCAGTCGGGCTAGTGACAAAATAATTTTACTAGTCCAGTCAGATAGTGACAAAAGAATTTTACTGGTCCAGTCAGCTAGTGACAAAAGAATTTTACTAGTCCAGTCGGGCTAGTGACAAAGGAATTTTACTTGTCCAGTTGGGCTGGTGACAAAGGAATTTCGCTTGTCCATTCAGGCTAGTGACAAAGAAATTTTACTAGTCCAGTCAGCTAGTGACAATGTTATTTTATTTGTCCAGTTGGGGTAGTGACAAAGGAATTTTACTAGTCCAGTTGGGCTAGCAACAAAGGTATTTTACTTGTCCAGTCGGGCTAGTGACAAAGGAATTTTACTAGGCCAGTCGCGCTAGTGACAAAGGAATTTTACTAGCCCAGTCCGGCTAGTGACAGAGGAATTTTACTAGGACAGTCGCGCATGTGACAAAGGAATTTTACTAGGACAGTCGCACATGTGATAAAGTAATATCAATTGTCCATTCGGGCTAGTGACAAAGGAATTTTACTTGTCCAGTCGGGCTAGTGACAAATTAATTTTACTTGTCGCGTCAGGCTAGTGATAAAGGAATTTTATCTCCAGTGGGGCTAGGGAAAAAGGTATTTTAATTGTCCAGTTGGGCTAGTGACAAATGAATTTTGCTAGTCTAGTCAGGCTAGTGATAAAGGAATTTTACTAGTCCAGTCAGCTAGTGACAATGTTATTTTATTTGTCCAGTTGGGGTAGTGACAAAGGAATTTTACTAGTCCAGTTGGGCTAGCAACAAAGGTATTTTACTTGTCCAGTCGGGCTAGTGACAAAGGAATTTTACTAGGCCAGTCGCGCTAGTGACAAAGGAATTTTACTAGCCCAGTCCGGCTAGTGACAGAGGAATTTTACTAGGACAGTCGCGCATGTGACAAAGGAATTTTACTAGGACAGTCGCACATGTGACAAAGTACATGTAATATCAATTGTCCATTCGGGCTAGTGACAAAGGAATTTTACTCGTCCAGTCGGGCTAGTGACAAATTAATTTTACTTGTCGCGTCAGGCTAGTGATAAAGGAATTTTACCTCCAGTGGGGCTAGGGAAAAAGGTATTTTAATTGTTCAGTTGGGCTAGTGACAAATGAATTTTGCTGGTCTAGTCAGGCTAGTGATAAAGGAATTTTACGTCCAGTTGGGCTAGTGACAAAGGAATTTTACTTGTCCAGTAGGGCTAGCTCTATTTTTGGGCATTGGGTTAGTGGCTAACATTGCAGACTGTAAGACTATTACATTGGTAGGCAGCCCTTAGGTTTGTAATTGAAATCTGGACATTCTCTCTGAAAATACACTTTTCTCTGTAGATATAAAATTGCTAATCCAATATAAACATGAAATTGTTTTATACTTTTTTTATATAGATATCAACAGCAATAAAGTTTTTACAGAATCCCAAAGTTCAGCAAAGTCCTGTGTCACAAAGGAAAGCTTTCTTAGAGAGAAAAGGTATGATTAAAAGGGAGAATTTCTTAGAGAGAAAAGGTATGATTAAAAGGGAGAATTTCTTAGAGAGAAAAGGTATGATTAAAAGGGAGAATTTCTTAGATAGAAAAGGTATGATTAAAAGGGAGAATTTCTTAGAGAGAAAAGGTATGATTAAAAGGGAGAATTTCTTAGAGAGCAAAAGGTGTGTTTAAAAGGGAGAATTTCTTAGAGAGCAAAAGGTGTGTTTAAAAGGGAGAATTTCTTAGAGAGGAAAAGTATGATTAAAAGGGAGAATTTCTTAGAGAGGAAAGGTATGATTAAAAGGGAGAATTTCTTAGAGAGGAAAGGTATGATTAAAAGGGAGAATTTCTTAGAAAGGAAAGGTATGATTAAAAGGGAGAATTTCTTAGAGAGGAAAGGTATGATTAAAAGGGAAAATTTCTTAGAGAGGAAAGGTATGATTAAAAGGGAGAATTTCTTAGAGAGGAAAGGTATGATTAAAAGGGAGAATTTCTTAGAGAGGAAAGGTATGATTAAAAGGGAGAATTTCTTAGAGAGAAAAGGTATGATTAAACGGGAGAATTTCTTAGAGAGAAAAGGTATGATTAAAAGGGAGAATTTCTTAGAGAGAAAAGGTATGATTAAAAGGGAGAATTTCTTAGAGAGCAAAAGGTGTGTTTAAAAGGGAGAATTTCTTAGAGAGCAAAAGGTGTGATTAAAAGGGAGAATTTCTTAGAGAGGAAAAGTATGATTAAAAGGGAAAATTTCTTAGAGAGGAAAGGTATGATTAAAAGGGAGAATTTCTTAGAGAGGAAAGGTATGATTAAAAGGGAGAATTTCTTAGAGAGAAAAGGTATGATTAAAAGGGAGAATTTCTTAGAAAGGAAAGGTATGATTAAAAGGGAGAATTTCTTAGAGAGGAAAGGTATGATTAAAAGGGAAAATTTCTTAGAGAGGAAAGGTATGATTAAAAGGGAGAATTTCTTAGAGAGGAAAGGTATGATTAAAAGGGAGAATTTCTTAGAGAGGAAAGGTAAGATTAAAAGGGAGAATTTCTTAGAGAGGAAAGGTAAGATTAAAAGGAAGAATTTCTTAGAGAGGAAAGGTAAGACTAAAAGGTAAAATTTCTTAGAGAGGAAAGGTAAGATTAAAAGGGAGAATTTCTTAGAGAGGAATGGTAAGATTAAACGGGAGAATTTCTTACAGAGGAAAGGTATGTTTAAAAGGTAAAATTCTTAGAGAGGAAAGGTATGATTAAAAGGGAGAATTTCTTAGAGAGGAAAGGTAAGATTAAAAGGAAGAATTTCTTAGAGAGGAAAGGTAAGATTAAAGGGGGGAATTTCTTAGAGAGAAAAGGTATGATTAAAAGGGAGAATTTCTTAGAGAGGAAAGGTATGATTAAAAGGGAGAATTTCTTAGAGAGAAAAGTATGATTAAAAGGGAGAATTTCTTAGAGAGGAAAGGTATGATTAAAAGGGTGAATTTCTTAGAGAGGAATGGTAAGATTAAAAGGGAGAATTTCTTAGAGAGGAAAGGTAAGATTAAAAGGGAGAATTTCTACAAACAAGATCTGACTAATAATAATTTTCCCAAATTCAAATTGATCATTTGTGTCATTGACATGATTGAAAGAGAGAGTCGAAAGATACTAAACGAATAATCAAAATCATATGTCAAAAATGAACTGACAATGCCATGGCAAGAAACAAAAAACTGACCAAAAGACAAACAACAGTATACAAAACACAACATAGAAAAGTAAAGTCTGAGCAACACGAACTCCACAAAAAAACAGAGGTGATATGTAATTGAAATAAGGAGATGTGGTATGAGACAACTATCTACCTGGGACCACAGGAGTTGATGTTAATATAAAGATAAGGAGATGTGATATGATTGCCAATGATACAACTATCCACCAAGCAATTATAGGCAACAGTATGGCCTTAAACAATGAAAAAAACTCATACCGTATAGTCGGCTATAAAAGGCCCTGACATGAAAAATATGAAACAATTGAATTGAGAAAAATAACAGTCTAATTAATAACAAAATAATTTATAAAAAAATAAATATGACAGACCTGAACCTGACCTCATAAAATGGATAGTATACATGGTATACAATGACTTGTTTATTTTGCCTGTTGTGTTGTGAGCATGTCAGAAAATTTGTTTGTATATAAATCAACTCAGATTCTGTATTAATGAATTATCATATACTTGGCTTCAGCACTGTAAGTTGATAATACATGTACTGAAGAAACATTATTTGTTGAAATGCAGGTCGTGTGCAGTACAATTATAGTGATTGCACCATGTTAGCAATGTTCAGATTTCCTAGACCGTGATTGCTACCTTGAATCTTCATATTACTCTCGAGGTATTGAATCTTTCCATAAAACTAAACAGAACAGCTAAATTATTCTGGATTCATCTTTGTTTTATGATGTTGTAACCTTAATTTTATTGTTATTACATTACCAGTAGTTTTGAATGTGAAATTTATAGATAATCTGTCATGTTTGTCAACAGATAATTTATTCTTTCTATGTCAATCTTTCAGGCCTTACCAAAGAAGAGATAGAGTTAGCAATAGAGCGATCTGGCGTACCTTCAGATAAACCTACCCAAGTTTACCCACCACAGCCTCCTGGAATACAGGCCCCAATACCTGGAGCAGTGGTGCCCTACCAACAGTCAGGTAAATAGAATTAGCAATAGAGCGATCTGGCATACCTTCAGAAAAACCTACCCAAGTATACCCACCACAGCCTCCTGGAATACAGGCGCCAATACCTCGAGCAGAGGTGCCCTACCAACAGTCAGGTAAATAGAATTAGCTATAGAGAGATCTGCCGTACCTTCAGATTAACCTACCCAGGAATAGCCACCACAGCCTCCTGGAATACAGACACCAATACCTGGAGCACTGGTGCCCTACCAACAGTCAGGTAAATAGAATTAGCTATAGAGAGATCTGGCGTACCTTCAGGTAAACCTACCCAAGTATACCCACCATAGCCTCCTGGAATACAGGCACCAATACCTGGAGCAGTGGTGCCCTACCAACAGTCAGGTAAATAGAATTAGCATTAGAGATCTGGTGTACCTTCAGAAAAGCCTACCCAAGTATACCCACCACAGCCTCCTGGAATACAGGCTCTGATACCTGGAGCAGTGGTGCCCTACCAACAGTCAGGTAAATAGAATTAGCTATAGAGAGATCTGGCGTACCTTCAGATAAACCTACCCAGATATACCCAATATAGCCTCAGGGAATACTGGGCCAATATACTAAGATACAAGATGTTTTACATACGATAGCTTCAATAGGAGGCTTATCTTATGCTGTCTACAGATTTATATATATATTTATTTTCAGTGCCCCCTGTTGGTACATAAGTAAAGATACAAGATGTTTTACACACAATAGCTTTAATAGGAGGCTTATCTCATGCTGCCTACAGATTTATATATATATTTATTTTCAGTGCCCCCTGTTCGAACATAGGTAAAGATACAAGATGTTTTACACATGATAGCTTTAATAGGGAGCTTGTCTTAGGCCAACTTAAATCAATTAGTAGATTTTCATCCAGATTTTTTATAATAATGGGGCAGGTGGGAGGATTTAATTTTTTAATTTTTATTTCCTTGGAAACCCCTTTGTAATGTGTTCATATGCAAGGGTAATAATAAGCTTATATCATGTACAGTCAAGGGTGTAACTTGAATAAGTTATTAGAGAAAAATAACATACATGTGTTATTACAGATACTTTCTCTTAATCTGTAGTAACATATGTTTGTTATCAGTTAAATGTACCATAAACAATTTTATTTTCAGTGGGCACTTGGGAATTCTTGAAACTTGCGCAGTAACTTAATACACAACCTTGAAAACTAATTTTCCAATTCAATTAATACATTTTTGATCAACCATGGTAAATCAATGAGACAAGGCTTTTAAGTGATAACTTAGCTGTAATAACAAGGCTTAGTTATTACAGGCATTTAACTTATTACACTAGACACTTGGGAATGACTAGGAAGCTTGCGCAGAACCTCATTACATGCTCTTATCATTATTTATTACAATAAATTAAAATACATTGTGATATATGTAGGAGAAAAGGCTTTGAAGAGATGTAGAGAAGCTGTAATAACACCCTTTAGTTACTACAGGCATATTTTTTTCTGTAATAACATGGGTGTGTTATGTATGATTGGCCAACTATGGGCTGTTATATCTTTCTAAAGTTAAATATACATAAAGGCAATTATAATATCAATAGAACTAGTACACAATTTAACAAAATAAAGGATGTATAATGGCCCTTTGAAACATGTAACATACATATGTTATCACAGATTTTTGATTTTTTAGCCCTCAATAACAAATGTATGTTATTTTTCTCTAATAACTTATTTAAGTTAGACCCTTGACTGATGTATATATAAAGAATTTTACATATTTTTTTCAAATTCTTAAATAAATATTTCAAATTGGCAGCCACTTTTCTACATGTAATTGCTGTTTTAGAAACCTATTTTCAATAAATAGCAAAACCATGGAGAAATGCTCTCTCTTAGACTACCTACATCAAATTTATTTTGCTTTCTAAGCTATGGTTTGTAATGCCCATAAAATGAAGCATATGCATTGGTAAGCAACACAAGTATGAGTACAGAGTGAAATGAAAACTCAAACTGTGTTGAAAATACTAGGGTTGATAAAAGAAGAAGTAGTTTAATGGCTCTTTTCAGGGGCTGGGGTCAGAGGGTGTTTGATGTTTGTCAACAGCCTTGGGGTAGATCAAAGGCTTGATATAATACATTGTGTACATTGGCGGTTTTTATTTTTTTATACTCAATATATATACGATCATGATCTAACAAGTTCGTGCTTGTGTCAATTTCTTTATTCCAGTCATGTTTTTTGTACCAATATGATCCACTATTCTTGCTCTTTGGATATCATTCACAGTCCAAATTTCCTGACACAGACACAGAGTCATTCATGTCATTGTATACATAAAAAAATCAACTGTTTTCTAATCAGTGAAATTTGATACGTGTTCTTGGACACCGCTTATTACTCATAACCCGAATATTTTATGCCCTTCCCATAATCAATCTCTATTCTTGGAAGATACTGTTGTCATCATAGAGCTGCAGAATATGTTGATTTAATTTTTTTTGTTAACTTACTCTGAAGAAATACGAACCTGAACCAGAATTTGCATCAAGAAGGTTTGAATGAAATGAAATTATTGGCGGTTACCAGTAACAAACATGAACAAATTCAGTAAATCGTAAATTTAAAAAAATTTAAAAAATCGGGGTGGGACGATTTCAGAGCGCCGGACAGGGGTGAAAATCTATTTTAATTGGCCTTATCCTGTTTACAGATTTATACATATATTTATTATCAGTGCCCCCTGTTGGTACATTAGTAAAGATATGAGATGTTTTACACACAATAGCTTTATAGGTGGGTTTTCATATCCTGCCTACAGATTTATTATGTATATATTTTCAGCGCCCCCTGTTGGTACATTAGTAAAGATACGAGATGTTTTACACACGATAGCTTTAATAGGAGGCTTATCTTATGCTGCCTTTAAATTTTTCAAGGTAAGCTAAAAATCTGTTGTTAGACATGTTAGAGATGTCTCTGAGCAGAGTGTAAAGCAATGTTCTTGTTTCCCCCAGAATGGAGTAGTGCAGCTCCCCTCTAACCTTTCTGTGCTCTCCTCTGCCCTTTGCATCATTATTTTCTATTAAAAGAAAAATATTCTTGAACAATAAGAAATGTTTTGATATTCTTGTTATAGCATTGCCTCATATAGATCTATGAATTTAAAGGGGCATTAGCTGGAAATTTATGTCCACAGAATTTATTCAAACTCTTAAATTAGATTTAATATATACGAAAATGTAATTCAGAACTACAAAAATTTCATTGAAAACAATACAAAATATTTGAAATACTATAAAGTATCAAGATTTTGTATGTATTCCTGACTAGACGCTAAGTAACTATTGAAAACTCTTGATGCTGCATGTGACCTTGTTATAATTATAAACAGACCGGTAAACAATAAATACAAATAATAAATCCTAGGTAAGCACCAGTAACAGTATGATGTTGATTTTCTTAGTTCTGTCTGGGAACAGTATATCTAAGGGGAGGGAACAGTATATCTAAGGGGAGGGAACAGTATATCTAAGGGGAGGGAACAGTATATCTAAGGGGAAATGAATCTTATCATGCTTATAGTCTTTTCAGTATAAAATTGATAAAATCTCGAACTTTACGAGACTTCGCGAGATTTATGGATTTTGGAAGCGTCTGATTGAAAAACTATCTGAACTGCTCAATAAATTAACCACATAATTCCAAACATTCAACAAATACAATGAATTGATAAGTTTTATCGTAAAGTAGATATATTTTGTCATATATAACATATGTATAATGATCAATATCAGTGTGATTTATTTGATGTGAAGTGTTTCATAATGGTTTGGGAAATTCAGAGTTACTGGGAATGCCATCAGCGCCATTTTTTTTATTACCCCGTTTGCATTCTGTACCCTTCTGTGATGAAATGAATGCAGCTATGACAAATTTGAAGTGACAGATTACAAGTTCAATACACTGGCATCACTTATTACTTAGTTTGAATGACATTTTATTGTTATTATCAGAAATTATTAAGATAATAGCGAGTACGTATTTTACACGTCTATTTCTGTATTGTGTCATTTATTAACTATGACCAGACGATAAAATTGGCTATGATTAGGACGTGTCAAGTCCCATCAATATATATCTTCCTGGTTCTCTTTGATCTCATTTCATGAATAAAAAAATATAGATTGAATGTAAATTTACTCAAACCCAGTATAACTGCCTTCCTTGTTTTCACTTTTTTTCAGCTGCCATTTGTTTTTATCACAGTCCATGCTGGGCTCATGATCAACACATTTCCAACAATGGTGAAATTATAGGTGGCATGAATAAGGATTCAAATGAGGCTGAGTTGTTGACTTGCAAAAAGTTTGTAATCTTTTATGTATTTGTAGGAATATTTATTGCCATGGATTTTAGGTAAACCAAAGACAGAAGATAGATTAGATAAAATTGAGAATATGGTGATAGAGCTTCAGAAAAACATTGTAGAGACTTTGTCAAAGATACAACTGACCTTGACCTCCATGCAGGAAACAATGTCAACTAATCAGGAGAAAGTACAGGCTATATCACATGAAGTCTACTCCCAAAGGGTAAATTAAACCTAAAAATATTTTGAACAATTATATTATGTATTGAACTGAGAGAGAAATGGAGAAAGCATTACCATGGTGTAGACTTACAACTGCATATTCTGTAGAATTGTACTTTTATGAAACATCATATTAGTTTTTGGAATATTTCTTCCACTTGCAAAATATTTTTAAAAATTTCATAACAAAAAATATACAATGTAAACCTACGTTTTGTTCTTATCACTGATTTAAAGTTGTTATCTTTCTACTTACAGTTCACTACAATTTTTTTTTCCTATAGCTCACCATTCCAAAGGAATTGTGAGCTTTTGCCATCACTTGGCGTCCGTCATCGTCTGTCGTCGTCTGTCTGGTGTAAACTATTTCAAACATCTTCTTCTCTGAAACTACTGAACCAATTCCAACCAAACTTAAGCTGGATGATTTTAAGGGTATCTAGAATAAAGTTTGTGTTTTATTTTCTGTTTCGTAAAAAAACATGGCCGCCATGGCTAAAAATAGAACGTAGGAGTAAAATGCAATTTTTGGCTTAAATCTCAAAAACAAAAGCATTTAGAGCTAATCTGATGGAGGTAAAAATGTTTATTAGGCCAAGCTCTGTCAGCCCTGAAATTTTCAGATGAATCTAGCAACCCATTGTTGGATTGCTGCCACTTAATTGGTAATTTTAAGGAAATTTTGCAGATTTTGGTTATTATCTTGAATATTATTAATGATAAAGATAAACTGTAAACAGCAAAAATGTTCAGCAAAGTAAGATCTACAAATAAGTTCCGATGACCAAAATTGTCAATTGTCCCCTTAAGGAGTTATTGCCCTTTAAAATCAATTTTTCACAATTTGTTCATTTAGTTTGCTTACTTTAAAAAATCTTCTCCTTTGATCATGTTGATACTGCTGAATCAATTTCAGCCAAACTTGGGCTGAATGAGTTTCAGAGTATCTGGTATAAATTTTGTATTTTATTTTCTTGTACGTCAAAAAACATAGCCACTATGGCTAAAATGAAACATAGAGGTAAAATGCATTTCTTTGATTTTGAAAAAAATATGACAGATACAAAAAACATTTTAATAAAGGAAGTTTTAAGCCATTCATTAATATATATTGAAAAGAAAAAATAATCATTGATGAAAGATTTAAGCAAAAAATTACAGGTGAGCGATTCAGGCTCTTGAGAGCCTCTTGTTGATTTTGAGTTGAGATCATGAAAAAATAAAGAAAATGTTGATAAAATTGATGAACACTATAAATTTATTTATTAAACAGATTATCATTGCAGGCTTCATGAATCCAAATTCTTTTGCCATATCTTGACAGGTTAACAAATGACATAAAAAAGGACACAAAATAAATCTCCTTATAAGAGTAGATGTTATTACTCTATCACAGAAATTTCCACAATTTGCAAAAACGTACGTGAAATACACAAAGATCACAAATTACAAATGTTGAATAATGAACACTTACGTTGTTTTTTATTAGTAAACAAATTAATTTAGTATCAACATCTCACTGAAAATTGTTGTTTGGGAAGGTATCTGTTTCATCAGCTCCATTGTTATTTAAGGAATGACTGTAATATTTTTTTCTGTCTATGAAGAAATAACATAAAAATGTGGTGCACATTTTTGAGGTTATTTCAAATAGACGGAAATAAATATTACAGTCATCCCTTATAATTTAATTCTAAATTCCTTTTTTGAGGAGTAAATCATGAAAAAACGTTGATGACATTACGGTCACATGACAAAATTATGTCAATAAACTCATAGACAAATACTTTCAGCCGATCAGAAGACGTCTTACATCAAAAATTAAATTATACTTTATTAAAAGTTATTAATGTAAAAATTTGGTTAATTTGAATGTCCTGATATTTCAGTCTTCAACAGCAATGAGTAATATTAACGAGTCACAGTTTGCCACAGAAATGAAGTCGGAGCTACAAACAGTAAAAGGATTATTATTAAACAGGTAAGAGAGACTTAAGCCATTAGACACAACCAACAGAACAATCATTAACCACAGGTGAATTAAAATAGACAAACAATTATCAAAAAGAAGAAAATGACTGAGGCAAACAACAGTCCACAGAAAACTAAACATTGAGTAACGAAAACCACCCCAAATCAGGTGTCAACTCAGGTGCTCTGGAAGGGTCAGCAGAGCTGCTCTGGATTGGTCAGCTCAGGTGCTCTGGAAGGGTCAGTAGAGCTGCTCTGGATAGGTCAGCTCAGGTGCTCTGGAAGGGTCAGTAGAGCTGCTCTGGATTGGTCAGCTCAGGTGCTCTGGAAGGGTCAGCAGAGCTGCTCTGGATTGGTCAGCTCAGGTGCTCTGGAAGGGTCAGCAGAGCTGCTCTGGATAAGTCAGCTCAGGTGCTCTGGAAGGGTCAGCAGATCCTGTATTTACATGTTGTTTACTCCTGATTTAATACATTGATGTATCACACAATAGGGGATTGGTTAATTGACTTAATTTATTTAATATAAATTCTTCTGTAAAGATTTTTTTTACTCCCATATTGTAGAAATAATTTTAAAATAAGGAGATAAGGTATGATTCAGTTCATATATTAGTTATATTCAGTCACAATGTAGTAGTTGATAAATAACAGAAAATACAATACCGTGATATATTCAATGAAGGCTAACTGTCCATATCCTATGTTAACAGGTTTAGATTTAGAAATATGAGGGCTATTGTCAGTTTTGTTGGAGACAAAAACAATAAGATTAACTAATGCCAAGCACTGATGTAAAACCAAAGACTTAAAATAGGGTTTTTACAAATGTTTGCACCTGTCCTAAGTCAGGAATCTGATGTACAGTAGTTGTCGTCTGTTTATGTAGTTCATACGTGTTTCGCATTTCTCGTTTTTATATAGATTAGACCGTTGGTTTTCCCGTTTGAACGGTTTTACACTAGTAATTTTTGGGGCCCTTTATAGCTTGCTGTTCAGTGTGAGCCAATGCTCCGTGTTGAAGGCGGTACCTTGACCTATAATGGTTTACCTTTATAAATTGTTACTTGGATGGAGAGTTGTCTCATTGGCACTCATACCACATCTTCCTATATCTTTTTATGACTTCTCTGCTAATTAGCACACAGCATTTAGTAATAAGTGCAAAGACTTATTAGCTTGAAGTCAGAATAAGGTTGGGTAGGGTCCCTTCTTATAGAAGTTATTGGCCATGAAGATTTATTACACCATTTTTGAATTTAGGGCAAAATTGTTATAGTTAATAGAGAGAAATTAAAAGCAGAAAAAGTTATCAGCAAAAAAGGATGAACAAAAAACAGATCTTAGTCATGAATTATAATTGAAAATGTGCCTTGATCCTTAATCTTGCATTGGATAAAGGACTTGACAGATATGTTTATATTTTTAACAGACGACAATTCCCACCAACACCATCATCATCATCACTGCCAGCATGGCAACTCAGTCAGACTGCCACTCCTACGAACAAATCCAACATGGTCAAACCTAGTGGTGATGCAACACCAGTGTCAGAACCTAGCGGTGATGTTGCAATAGTGTCAGAACCTAGCGGTGATGCCATAGTGTCAGAGGAAGCATACTTAAATCAGAATAAAAATGATAGAACAGATGCTGAAAATAATGAAGAAGTAAGTTCTTTAATAAACATATTTTTAAAAAAAAAAGGATAATAGAATTTACCAAATATAGCAGCAGTGCTTCCAAAACGATCGTATTGTAGGGACTTGACTTTTAAATTATATTTTTCACTTGTTGTGCTGAGCCTGAAATGTTCATAGTACGTGGGTTTGCCATTTTAACATAATTCAGAGAAAAAAAATGAAGTTTATGCAATCTTTTGACCTGACCTTTTGCCTTAAACAACCACACATTTCCAGTCATAAAAGTTACATGATGAATAATTACTATCAAAACAAACCCTACTTTAATATCCTCTAATTACAATCAACAGTCAGGGGCATTACTTAAACAAGTAACTTTCAAAATTACCTATACAAGTTATGTTGAAAACGAGACTATTTTGAATGTTACTTATATAAATAACTTTTGTAAATATTATTTTTTATACTAGCTTTAAGGATGTTCGCCACTCTGTTTCAAAATAACTAGCTTTTTCAAAGACTGTTTTAAATTGATAGTATATAAATAACGGAACTAGAAAAGTTAAAAAAAATTAAGGGTCTGTGTGCTTGGTATCCAGAAATAAGCTATTGAAAATTTGGTGGGAAATGATTCTCTCTAGATTTTTTATACATTTAACATTGGCACCTTTTTTCTTCCAAAATCTATGAAAAAATAACAAGGATTTTATAAGATTTTCAAATATGGCTTTTTAAACTATATGAAATAAAATTATGAAAAGAAAAGTAGGGGTTAGCAGTCAGAGATATAACTCTATAGGGTTATTACAGAAAATAACTTGCGTGTGTTATTACAGATACTTTCATGAGTTGTCTACTCTTTATTCCTTAAACTTTCTAAATCTGCAATAACATATGTTTGTTATTTGTAAAATTAGTCAAAAATAGTTTAATTTATAATGGGCTCTAGGGAACTCTTGCGACTTTGCGCAGAAACTAAATGCATAGCCTTGATAATTAATTTTTTAATTGAATTAATACATTTTTGATTAACCATGGTAAATCAATGAGACAAGGCTTTTAAGGGATAAACTTAGCTGTAATAACAAGGCTTAGTTATTAAAGGAATGCAACTTATTATATGAGACACTTGGGAATTACTGGGAAGCTTGCGCAGAACCTCATTACATGCTCTGGTCATTATTTCTTACAATAAATCAAAATACATTGTAATTAAGCATGATGTATGTCTGAGAAAATGCTTTGGAATGATATAGAGAAGCTGTGATAACACCCTTTAGTTATTACAGGCATATTTTTTCTGTAATAACATATAGGTGTACTATGCAAAATTGGCAAACTATGAACTGTTATATCTTTCTATAGTTAAGTATACATAAAGACAATAGTAATATCAATAGAACTTGCATGCATTTTAACTAAACTAGTGATGTATATTGTCCCTTTGAAACATGTAACATACATATGTTATCACAGTTCTTTGATTTTTTAGTCCACAATAACAAATGTATGTTATTTTTCTGTAATAACCCTATAGAGTTATATCCCTGACTGGTTAGTGGGCAAAATTTTTAATGGCACTACAGGGATAAAACCAGAGGAATCCGAATATCTGGCAAAAATTCAGGAACAGGAGAAGCGAACATCCTTTACAAATTTTCACGATGTCTTTACATTTCATATGGATGCTTCTGGGTCAAAGATTGGTCTCTTGGGACTATTAAAATATCATTTTCCTTGAAAATCTTAAAGATAGACAGATATAAATATATGGAAACTTGTGATTTATTTAAGACTGAAAGATATTTATAATTTGTAACCCAAAACAATTAAATATGTTTCTTAAATAATTGTTATTACTAATTTTTTCAAAGATGTATAAAATAACTTATACAAGTAATGTTTTTGTCATTATTTTCAAAGTAACCTTCTATCTCTACACTCCTCTCAAATTTATTAAATTCTTAATTCTATGTAATAAAAACAAAATTTAGTCCATGCTTCTATTGAAATTTAAAATAACTCTATTAAGTAATTTAATAATTTTCAAAAACAAAAATTACCTAATAATAGTATACAAGTTACTAAAAAAAATAACTTGTTTAAATAACATCGCTAACTAATCAAGGTTAATTAGTTGTCTGACAGCTAAAATTTCCTGTTCAGGCAATTGCAAAAAGGTAAACTATTTTTTGCCCGACATTGATCGGTCTATTTAAAGTTATTTTCATAAATTTCAACGGTTTGTGTCTAATTTATTTAGTCAAAAAGATTAGATTATCAGAAATTCCTATATAGATATGATTTGACAAAAAATTAAAAAAGGTAGTTATAAATCGTCAGAACCAGGTTGTTTGAACTAGTACATGTCTGGGCATGTGCACAGGTGTGAGATTTAATTATGCATCTGAATTCTTCAAAAATGCTGAAATTATCATCGATACCTTCATCCAACTTTCATTTTGACTATCGTGCTTTGTAAATGTACAAGGATTTTTACTTAACCGTCTCTGGTCCCTGTTGTCCAGTCAACATCAGGTATAGGGAAAATGTAATTTTAAAAAAGGAAAGTACAGTGTTTGACAGTGTAATATTGCACAAATAAAGAGTCTAAGGCAGATATTAGTACGCTGATGTTGCACACTTTGAATGATGCACTGTCAATTTAACAGTTTACGTCAGAACATCGAATTTCTGTCAAAAGTCCAGTTTAAGGATGTTCGCTCTTCTGTTTCAAATTATAACAAGCTGTTTAAATGACAGTTATAAATGAATAAAATTGAGAATGGAAATGGGGAATGGGTCAAAGAGACAACAACCCGACCATAGAGCAGACAACGGCCGAAGGCCACCAATGGGTCTTCAATGCAGCGAGAAACTCCTGCATTTATAGTATAGAACTAAAAAAGGCAGAAAAAATAAAAGGTCTGTGTGCTTGTTTTTGAGATGTAATCAATTGAATAATTAGTGGGAAATGATTTTCTCTAAATTTTTCATATATTTAACACTGGTACCATTTTTCTTTCAAAAACTATGAAAAAATAACAATGATTTTATAAGATTTACTAAAATGGCTTTTTAAACTATATGTAATAAAATTATTAAAAGAAAAGTAGGGGTTAGTGGGCATAATCTGTCTTTACACTACATAGATAAATATAGAGGATTCGGAATGTCTGACAAAAAGTTATAAACTAGAGTAGCGAACATCTTTAATATTGTTTTTATGTCAATCATTGTTTATATGATGTCAAACTAATTACCATGATTGCCTTTTGTTACTTAGTCTTAACATACTTAAGGGATTGAAATCGGGATAAGACAAAAAATGTTCTGCTGGCTGAAATATTTTTTGGAAGTCCTGTATAGCAGATATTTCCATAGACCACACAAACAACAGACTCCTCTGAGAAAACAGATGTAAGACAACTAGTCTTGGTATGTGGGCATAGATACCTTGTCTAAAAAACAAATTGCTAAATGGGAAACAATTTAGTCATATAGTCAAGTGTCAATATATTATCTAATGCGTCTTATAGTGTTCTTTTATTTGTCTTTGTAAGTTATTACCTTTACTGTTTAGTCTATTTTTGGTAATATCCCTTTGACGTGCCTCGGTACTTTTACATCCCGTTATTGTGTTATTGTGCTATGGTAAATTTTTTGTATTCTTGACTTTCTTTTTCACTTATGTGCTTTGTCTATATGCCTTTTTGTTTTTCTTTGTTGACATATGTGTTTGTTTTTATAGTGATTAAGATTAAACATGTTAAAACACAATGTTGACTGCTGTTCTCCTATTTTTGACATTTTTACCAATTATGTCTGTCTGTTTTGTTTACACATTGTTGTCAATATAATGAAATTTTATGAGACTGTCATACAAGTGAGAGACTTAGCTAGCTATAAAACTAGGTTTAATCCACCATTTTCTACATAAGAATAGTTATCAAAGGTACCAGGATTATAATTTAATATGCCAGACGCACGTTTCGTCTACTTAAGACTCATCAGTGACGCTCAGATCAAAATAGTTATAAAGCCAAACAAGTACAAAGTTGAAGAGCATTGAGGACCCAAAATTCCAAAAAGTTGTGCACATACCAAGTCAGGAATATGACAGTTGTTATCCATTTGTTTGATGTGTTTGAGCTTTTGATTTTGCCATTTGATTAGGGACTTTTTTGTTTTTTTTTACTTTTTGCAGCCGCCCAAACATTTTTTGAAAAGTTTACTGGTTTTCATAAGTTAAATAACAATTACCTTAAATCCATTGTAAGTAGTTCAGAGGTTAAAGTCTGACTTGTTTAAAACCTATTTGATGTTCTAATCATTCCATAAGGTTACTCTCATATTGATGTATATTTCCTTTTATGCATATATTCAGAATTCATTTGCATATAAAACTTACATTTTCTATTTCAGGTAAAAGTCAATTTCAGCTTCGAAGAAACTACAAATGTTGACATGTCAGATGTTTCTCAACCAATCAAAACAGAAGCTAGTGATATTCTGAACCAATCAGAGGACAATTTACAAATGAAATCAAAGGGAGAAAATGATAATGAAGAAGAGGTTGATTAAAACAGATTTACTAAAAAAGAATGGACAGTTTAAAAAAGAGAAAATTTATGCAAACAGAGAAATTACTATATATTGGATTTTTGTTATTTTTTCCCTTCAGCGAACAGATCACTACTAAGGTGGAAAAAGATAGATTTCTCTGATCATTTAAAAACATTTTTAAATATTTCATTGGACGTTTCTCATCTTCCCATGCATTCAACATTCTTGTTAATCATGTCTGTTTATTACAGAAGGTTGTATTGCTTTTCCAACAATTCATTAATCCTATCACAAGTGGAGTTTAATGGATAGGCCTCTTCAATTAACTAGTTTATGTTTCCATTGCCTGCATAAAACCTTTCAATGTTTAAATATTATTAGATGAGCTGCATCGAATAGAAATCGACCTTATGCAAGTACACATATGAATGTACATGTATAAGACTTTGATTGATTTTGGAACATTCAAATACGAAAAAAAAGATGAATTTTGGTCTGTTTTGTAGGCTTCTTATATCAACTCAATTTTCAATTATGTACAGACTTTGCATAGAGATTTTTTCAACCGAAATATGTTAACAAATTTATGGATATTCATTTGCATAATGTCGATTTCTATCTGATACAGCTCAGATGAAGGTAGAATTTTCACTGCACTTAGGCTTTTTTACTAGTATTTTTCCATTTTTTCCATCCTAACAAGAACCCTGAATGTATAACCACAAACAACTGACATAGATTCATTTGTTGTTAAGAAATAAATAGAAATACGCTGGACTGTAATACTGTGTATTGCACTAACTTTATATCTGAATAATGGTCTGCAGTGGTTGTCATTTGTTGTTAAGAAATAGATAGAAATACGCTGGACTGTAATACTGTGTATTGCATTAACTTTATAATTGATTAATGGTCTGCAGTGGTTGTCATTTGTTGTAAAGAAATAGATAGAAATATGCTGGACTGTAATACTGTGTATTGCATTAACTTTATAATTGATTAATGCTCTGCAGTGGTTGTCATGTGTTGATGTAGTTCATAAGTGTTTCTCGTTTCTCGTTTTTTATATAGATTAGACCGTTGGTTTTCCTGTTTGAATGGTTTAACACTAGTAATTTTTGGGGCCCCTTATAGCTTGCTGTTTGGTGTGAGCTAAGGCTCTGTGTTGAAGGCCGTACTTTGACCTATAATGGTTTACTTTTACAAATTGTGACTTGGATGGAGAGTTGTCTCATTGGCACTCATACCACATCTTATTATATCGATATGCAGATTAAAAATAGTTTTCACCTGTATGTAAAAGTTTTCTACCATTTGAAAAGATGTGTTCATTTGATAATGTATTGTAATTTATTGACATGGAGATTCTACTTGGTTTCTAGAAAGAGGTAGTATCATTCCACACAAAGTTATACATAGAATTAAAGAATCTAATTTACAATGAGCAGAGATGTCAAATTGCACTTTGGACTTTTTGTCAACAGGATCAAGCAAATCATAAAACCTGACTTGCAAAAAAGTTTAATGAACAGATTTCCTCCTGCCAAGACAGTCCAATTATTTTTTTTGTGAATATGAATCGTAGAGAATTGTTAAAAGGTTAATACGATATAGGTATCTAAACTATATATTGTAATTTGAATGATGCAAGTGTTTATGTATTAAGCAGAATTATATGTAGAAAGAAAACTTATTTGCAGCTTATTGAGTAATTTAATAAGGAATATTGATGCATTTTAAAATAAATGTTTATATTTGAAGTGATTTTTTTTTATACATTTTGTATATTTTGGCTTTCAAGAAGAGTTTGATCGTACCAAATAAATTAAAAAAGGAGATGTGGTATGATTGTGACAAGACCAGTATCCAATAATACCAATTGACTAACATGTGATCAATGACAAGTCCCTGTACAACTTCATACAGTACAAACTTTTACAGAAGTGACAAATTTTTACAGTTGTTTTATGTAATGACCTTTTCTTCAATTCAATTATTTGTACCTGTAAATGTGTCAGAACGATTATTCAGCAATAACTTAACACATAACATGGATGATGATTTTTGACAAGGAGTAATTATCCTTTGACCTCTCTCTCATTATGGTTACATGTAATAGTTGTTATTTATACAAACACTTCTGTTTTAATTACTGATTCTTAACATAAATGATTTCATTTCTTGACATTTTTAAATTTTGATTACAGGTAATTTTAATTGCTTTTACAGGAAAAATACATACTTCATTTGTTTATAGTTACATGGCATTCACATAAATTACATTACTGAAACTACCAATGTGATTGTTGCTGTCTAGTAACATTAATTTTATTTTCTTTAAAGATGTTCGCTACTCTGTTTCAAAATAACTAGCTTTTTAAATTGCTGTTATAGATTGAAAGTATATGAATAAAGGAACTAAAAAAGGAGAAAAAAATGAAGTGTCCGTGTGCTTGTTTTCGAGATATAAGCCATTGAAAATTTGGCGGGAAATGATTCTCTCTTGACTTTTCATACATTCAACATTGGTACCTTTTTTCATTCAAAAACTTTGAAAAAATTGTAAGGATTTTATAAGATTTTCAAAGATGGCATTTTAAACTATATGTAATCAAATAATGGGAAAAAAGTAGGAGTTAGTGGGCAAACAATTCTTAATGGCACTACATGGATAAAACCAGAGAATTCCGAATATCTGACAAAAATTCAAAAACAAGAGGAGCGATCATCCTTGAGTATAGTTTGATGACTTTCTTTTATAAACTTCTCAATTTTACATCCATGAAAAGATTGGCCTAAAATCCACTAGTGTTTGACATGACACACCATCTTTTGACTTTCCTTTCAAATGTCTCATCCCCAGTCTCTCCATATAGTTAACTTTGATTATTTCTAAATTGATTGAGATCCCCACCCCATAACCATATGTTTTTATATTCCTTGTTATAAGACAGGATTTTTTCGTTGCAAGTTTGGATCCCCCAGGGGTCATCCCCACCCCCTTCATATAGTGAAATTTGATTATTTTTACATTTGTTGAGATCCCGACCCAATAACCATGTGGTTTCATATTCCCGATGATAAGAAGGGTTTATTTCAGTGCAAGCTTGTATCCCTGGGGTCACCCCCCATCCCCTTCATATAGTGAATTATGATTATTTCTAAAAAAAAGGTTGAGATCCCCACCCCTAAACCAATTGTCGACTTTTGATTTCTCAGCAGTAACATACCTTCTCCTCTGTCATATGGATTTACATATCGCAGTTGATATGTTACGCTTTTGCATGTTCACACTGCGTTAACAAGTGTGTGCTCCTTGCATAAAAACAGGAGCCAATGTGTAACCTAAGAAAGGCCAGAGGCTTACAAAGTAAAAACAAATAATAAAGATACTTTAACTTACATACATCCAATATAATTATGATAATGATGATAGTGTTCTTAGGTTGCAAATTTTCTACGAATCTTTGATTTGGTACACTAAACAAATAGAAAAAATACCAAGAGGGCAAACAAAAAATCAATAAAAAATGACAACAATATGTCTAAATTAAAAACCATGAAAAGACAAACCACAATAGCAAAACCTAGAGCAAGAGCACCACTTAGATAAACGCAGATGCTTGGAAGCATAAGCAATTGTAATACTTGATATAATGGCCACGATGTGTATAGAATAGTCATATACAATGAAATTTATTTGTGATAACGTATGTGTTTAGTAGGGTTTTTATATCAACTCAATGTTCAAACAGTTAATAACTTACAGACTGCGCAAAGCAATTTGTTCAACTCGAAACAGGTTAACAGATGTATTGGTATTCATTTGCATAAGGTTAATTTCTAACCGACGCAGCTCAATTATCAAGATTACAAGGGGGTTGCTCAACAAGTTTACGAGAGGATTGCCTAACATGATTATAAGGGGTTGTTTAACAAGATTACATGAGATTATTACCTTACGAGATTACACGAGGGGATTAGCTAACATGGTTACATGAGGTGATTACAACATTACATGGGAAATTGCCTATCAAGGGTTACACGAGCCTAACAAGATAACTTGATACAAGTACTAAATAAGTTACACGAGGTGATAACTTACAAAATTTCACTAGGGGATTGGCGGGGGGGATTCCGTATCAAGAGTACACTAGGGGATTGTACAACAAGGCTACTCATGGGGGGTTGCCTTTCAAAGTTACACGGGATGGGGGAAATTGTCTAACGAGGTTACACTAGTGGATCACCCCTCATACTCAACAAGATTCCAGGATTTCTAAGTATTTAAATTAAGGATTTCCTAACAAGTTTTAAAGAAACTATGTTGACAGAAATGAGTCCTTAATGTTTCAATACAACCCCAAATATATTTTTCTCTCTTTCTTGCAACAGAATATATGTCCAGTGAATCATAATAAGATATCAATATATTTTCTTTTGAATACATATATTTCAACTTCCTACATCTTGGAGATAATTATACTTGTCAATTATTTTTGGAAATATTAAGACCATGTTAGCAAAAACTATTTTGTTATTACAGCAATGATTCATTAATTCACTTTAATGTCTTACTGATGTATGTTTAATGGGATAATTAATATTTTGATGTAATAAAGTATATCGAACTCCAATGTAAATTCAAAAAGGTTGAAATCCATAAAAACTGACAAAATAAAACGTAAGACTATATCACATAACGGAACAAATGGGAAACAACTGAAACAGGTGTAATGTCACATAGGTCAACATTAACAATGCATTATCCTCATCAGGTACCCTAGTCTTATAAAACTATAATAACACGAACTGGGGCACGATACCCGATAAATTCTCTTTATGTTTTGTATATATTAAAGTAAAAAAATTATGATAGCTCCATCTTCTATATGTCGTAACTACAATACCCTTCCCTTTTCACGAATGTGACCTACCGAATTAGACTATTTACCGGATTTGTAATAACATAAGCAACACGACGGGTGCCACATGTGGAGCAGGATCTGCTTACCCTTCCGGAGCACCTGAGATCACCCCCAGTTTTTGGTGGGGTTCGTGTTGCTTAGTCTTTAGTTTTCCATGTTGTGTCTTGTTTACTATTATTTGTCTTTTTATTTTTTAGCTTTGGCGTTGTCAGTTTATTTTAGTTTGACTGTCCCTCTGGTATCTTTCGCCCCTCTTCTATATTCTATTTTAATCTAGAAGATGTTGAATATTCCTTTCTTTTTTCTTTAAACAAAACTACACATGTTGCCAAATAAAAAAAAACCCTTCGAATTGAGTACAGCCGTGACATAGTAATAAAAATCAATTATGATTTAGCTTCATCTTGTATATTCTATTTTGATCTAGAAGATGTTGAATATTCCTTTCTATTTTCTTTAAACAAAACTACATATGTTGCCAAATAAAAAAGACAGTCGAAATTAGTACACCCGTTGAAATAGTAATAAAAAAACCGTCGAAATGAGTATAGCCGTGACATAGTAATAAAAAACCGTCAAAATGAGTACAGCCGTGACATAGTAATAAAAAAAAAACGTCGAAATGAGTACAGCCGTGACCATGGTGACATAGTAATAATATCAGAACTAGTGGTACCAGCAGTACATCTTAATTCTGTCAAAAAACTAAACTTAAAAAATATAACAAAAACAAGGAAAGTTGGATTTGTACAAAATATCTATACTGATGACCATAACACAATTTTATAGATTGCCCTTTATTGACTTTAAGCACCAAAACCGTACTAAGCGATAGTATTGGTAGGAAATCTAAAATAAAGAGATATGATATGATTGCCAATGAGACACATATTCACTATAGACCAAATAGTGTAGATATATTAAGCAACTATGGGTCATGGACATGACAATGAAAACAATTCAAACCAGAAAACGAACTGATTTATGTACAAAACATAAAAAATAAACATAATATACAACAACAACGACAACCCTGGAATTAAGGCTTTTTGTAATCCGTTCAATTCAGTTAACAGTTGTGATTTTTCGACTCTGTACAATGAACTACCACACTATCTTATCAAACAGAAGTTCTCTTATTAAATCAAATGGTCTTTAGAAAAATCGGCTGGCAGATTTATCAGATTCATATAAAGTTTTCTTTTGTAATGAAAAGGGAAATATGCTAAATATACTTACTGGAACTGTGATGATGAGATGATTAAAGATTTACATTTTTTTCCTTGACAACATCTATAGACGTTTCGGTGTAGAAATTAGGATGTGATATCTAGTAAGTAATATGTTTTGTACAGGTATAGCAAAACTTCCAAACCAAATATTTATATTTATTAAATAATTTAATAAAGGTGAAGTAATTTGTGGTAACAATATCCTTTACTTGATAATTTACTAGTGATACATGGGTTTGGTTCATTTAAAATCCATAACGTGATAACAGACACGTGCATAGCGAACTCCAAAAGATGGAACCAAAGGAACATAAAAAAAAAGCATTAGAGAAAGGACCTAATTGTTGATAGTTATATTGTGACCTATAGTCAACAGATCTATCATTGTTCAGGAGTACCTTATTTGTTAAAAAGAAAGGAAGATACCAATTGGATAATAAACAAAATAAGTAAAACAATACAGACAACACATTGGGTAAAATATGCAACGAGAAGACAAGTACGAAACACTACACAGAAAAACTAAATATTGAGCGCAAATAGATTCAAAGCCATTTTGGACACCCTGTTCCCTAGATCTGTTGTATACAATACTTGAGATCGTATGTACATTATGTACTGTACTTGATATAGGAATGAAATAAACAAGCGATCCATTGTAACCGGTAAATCACAAATTGTTCTTGAGAATGAAGATGCTTTGTGTACAAAAACGTTAATAATGGATTGAACCAGTTAACAAAACACATATTCCGAACATAAGACAAAAAGTATTCAACAGCTCAAAAGAAATTAAGAACTTTGTTTGCCTTCTGGTTCTTTTTATTTATGCCAACGCCGTAGCGGCGGGGCATTAAGTTTTACCCTTGTCCGTCTGTACGTCCGTCCGTACGTCCGTACGTCCCAAAATTGGTTTCCGTTCTCTAACTTTAGTTTGCCTCAACCAAATGGTAGGAAACTTATACACAATGCTTATTACCACAAAACACAGTTCAAGTTTGAATTTGGGAAGCGTCACTTTCACCTTTCTAGAGTTATGCCCTTTACAAAAGGAAAAATTGCTGAATTTTTCATTTCCATTCTCTAATTTAAGTTTGCCTCAACCAGATGTTATGAAACTTATACGCAATGCTTATTACCATTTAACTCAGATCAAGTACGAATTTGGGTAGCGTCACTTTTACCGTTCTTGAGTTATGTCCCTTTATGTTATATGCAAGCGTGGGCATCATCTGTGTTCCATGGACACATTCCCTATTTATTTTAAAATAAACTGCAATAATTGACGCTTGATTCTATAAATTTTCAATGAATCACGATTTTATTACAGAAAGTCAAGTGAGAGAAAGTCGTAAGATTCAAAGTTATTTTGGACACCTCGTTCCAAAAAATAAATGGGAATCTGTTTCATTCAATACTCGTGATCAAATGTACATAATGCACTGTAGGTGATATAAGAATGAATTATACAAGTGATTCAAAGGGCTTTCTTAAGATACATTTCCTCATACAGGAAACTCGTATGATGTATATTACTGTGTCCTTGAGTAACATACATGGATATATAATAAATGAGATATACGTTCATATAAAAGGAGAATTATGACTTGAGTGAGGTAAGTTTATATTATCCTTATCCATTAGAGCATCTTTCATAGAGCATTGGCAACAACATATTCTATCTCACACCACGTGGTCATATAATTCACTAAATGTTTATATTAATGTGTCAAATTTAATCATTTGTATACTAAACTGAATATGTCAAATACGAAGGTTCGCCAAATGACGCAGAATACTAATTCACCGGTATATTCGTATGAAGCAATACTTTTATCATAAAATTATCATAATCTGTGATTGAGGCGAGACTTCAAAACATGTCCATTCGTGCTATTTATTCAAATTATAGATATAAAGTTTACTGAAAAACCAAACATTCTAACCTTCCAGATTATGACAGTCATGCACTCTTATAGATAGGTTAATGGCTGAACATTCAGTGGCTAATTAAATGCATATTCAGAACGAGAACATAATAATGTCATATGAATATGAACCCTGTTTTGTACAAGAACGGCACGCTGAGTGGTATATTTTTAATGTGCTCGTTCACAAGAGAGCAGGAAGATACCAAAGGAATATTCAAACTCATAAATTGAGGACAAGCTGACAACGCAATAGCAAAAAAAAAAAAGACGACCGAAAGATAAATAACATATACCAAACATAAAAGCACAAGACGACCGAAAGATGAACAACAGTATACCAAACATAAAAGCACAAGACGACCGAAAGATGAACAACAGTATACCAAACATAAAAGACAAAACGACCGAAAGATGAACAATAGTATACCAAACATAAAAGCACAAGACGACCGAAAGATGAACAACAGTATACCAAACATAAAAGACAAGACGACCGAAAGATGAACAACAGTATACCAAACATAAAAGACAAGACGACCGAAAGATGAACAGTATACCAAAAAAAAAGACAAGACGACCGAAAGATGAACAACAGTATACCAAACATAAAAGACAATATAAGAAAGAAGATGTGGTATGATTGCCAATGAGACAACTCTCCACAAGAGAACAAATGACACAGAAATTAACAACTATAGGTCACCGTACGACCTTCAGCAATGAGCCCATACCGCACAGTCAGCTATAAAAGGCCCCGAAATGACAATGTAAAACAATTCAAACGAGAAAACTAACGGCCTAATTTATGTAAAAAAAATGAACGAAAAACAAATATGTAACACATAAACAAACGACAACCACTGAATTACAGGCTCCTGACTTGGGACAGGCACATACATACATAATGTGGCGGGTTAGACATGTTAGCGGGATCCCAACCCTCCCCCTAAACTGGGACAGTGGTGTAACAGTACAACATAAGAACGAACTATAAAAATCAGTTGAAAGAGGCTTAGCTCATCAGATGGATAAAAATACAAATACTACAAATACAAGTGGACGTGGCCGGGTACTTGTACATCCAAACAACAAAAAGACACTAAGTACAGATCTGAGAGTACTCGCAGTTACTGACAGCTAGTTTAAAGCCACTAACAACTAATAAAAAAAAATCATGCATCTAAGACTAAATTATCAATCCGTATACATCCAATATCCAATGGATTTAGTGTAAAGACGTCATAAACAGTCGGAGAAAAAAATGACAATGCCAAGATACAGGAATCGACAGATTGTAGATCCATGAATGTGTATATGTATATAACAATAATATTTAGTTTGCTTTTAATTTACTGATAACAAAATCAATATTAGTACCAATAAAAACAATATTAAATGATCTAATTACAGTGTTGAATTGGTAACCTTTTAGAATAAGTTTATTTAAAGGATCGATAAGTTTACCAGGATCGTTTCTAAATTTCCGGGCACGGTAAACAATATTGCCGTAAAAATGAAGATGTGCAATCCCGTTTGAAATAAGTTTTCTACAGGTACAACCAAACTTCAAAACCAAATCTTTATATCTGTGGAAGAATTTAGTAAAGGATTTAAGTAATTTGTCGTAACGAAATCCCTGGCTTAATAATTTACCAGTAATACATAGATTACGTTCGTTAAAATCAAAAACGTCACAACAGACACGGGCATAGCGAACGAGTTGTGAAATATAAACACCGTAAGATGGTGCCAAAGGAACATCACCATCCAAAAAGGGAAAATTAACAATAGGGAACGAAAAATCGTCCCTTTTCTCGTAAATTTTAGTTTGGAGTTTCCCGTGTAAAACCGAAATATCTAAATCTAAGAAAGGACAGTTGTTACCGTTTAAATTTGATTTATTTAAAGTAATGACCTTTGGGTAAATTTCGGCAGTATATTGAGAAAATTCTTGATTATTTAACGAAAAAATATCATCAATATAACAGTGTGGGGTGGAATTTATCAATTTAATTATCAAGACAACCGAAAGATGACCAACATTACACCAAACAAAAAACACAAGACGACCAAAAGATAAACAACAGTATACCAAACATAAAAGCACAAGACGACCGAAAGACAAACAACAGTATACCAAACATATTAGACTGATTGAAAACACGAATCCCACCAAAAACCGGCGGTGATTGCAGGTGCTTCAGAAGTGTAAGCAGATCCTGCTCCACATGACGCATGTAGTAGTGCTCATGTTAGTACAAACCCAAAGAATAGTCTAACTCGGCTAGTCAATCATGGAAAAGAAAACTGGATTGAAGTTACAATTGCAACATACTCTTCGTTTGAATTATTTATTGAAAGGACATCAACGATATAGCCGAACGTTAAGCTAGAGGATAATGCTAGGTTATGCTTCTGTTACGGGCCCTTACAGTCTTTGATCATACTCCGAAATGACGCATGTTTAGCAGAGAGGTTGTAGCTATATATATGTACGTCAAGACTGATTGGAACCGGTCGGATGAGTACGATACAACGAAAACAAGGTGGTTATGTACTCTAATGATTGATTGATTGGTGTTTAACGCCACTTTCAACACTATTGTGCATTTTCGTGGCGGTCAGTTTTTATTGGTGGAGGAAGCCGGAGTGCCCGGAGAGAACCACCGACCTTCTGTAGGAAAACTGACAATTCTTGTCAATTAAGATTGGAGTCGAGAGCACCTGCCCCGTGCGGGATTCGAACTCACAACCTCAGTGTTGACTGGCTACAGTAGTTCGACAACTTAGACCATTCGGCCGCCGAGGCCCCCGTTATGTACTCTAATATTATCTGGCATGCATTGTGTGTGTAAGCTGTATGCGCAAGATTGGCATTTAAATAAATATCAATATTCTCTATTATAGGTAAAGTACACTTTTCTTCTTCTTAAATGATTAGCTGAACATCTTTATAATATTTGCATCAATTAGATGAGAGATAATGGTAACATTTGTGATAATTTGTGACATGTATGTGTTAAGGAGATGTGGTATGATTGCCAATGAGACAAACATCTATCCGAGACAAAATGACGTAGATGTTAGCTACTATATATATATGTCACCGTACAGCCTTCCACAATTATCAAAACCAATACTGCATAACAAGCTTATAAAGGCTTCAACATGACAAAATATATAACAATTCAAACAGGAAATCAAACGCCCTGATTTAAGTAAAAAAAAAAAACCAGCGAAAAACATATCTGATATACAAAACAAACGACCACCACGTGTATGTTTCATAATTTGAAGGATTATAATTTAGAGGAAATCAAGCATATCTGAAAGTGAATCTGAAGGTATCATCATGGAATACACATGTTTAGACGATTATGTGTTTTTTTAGGTAACATGTATTAGAATACGTAGCCGCAGAAAAACACCCCAAGCATATAAAGAATATCAATTTGCACATCAATCCATTAACACAACAACTAATATAGGTAAACATAGCCAGTTTGTTATCATGTCTGTTTAGAAATATGATTTATTTAGACTGCACCTTTCATTTGTAGTACATGCGTTGAAACAATGACAGATATATTATCAAGTGGGTTACAAGCAACATTTAGGGACTGTGACCGTGCACAATATGGTATCTTACATAACAAAGCATTAGACCACAACGGAAAATATATTGACATCCAGAAATCCACACAGGACCAGCGTGTAGGAAAAAGTATTTTAAACGTGCCGACAGTAAATATCATCGATGAGAACGTTCCTAGCTATACACCTAAATCTGAAACAACTACAAATGAATTGTGTCATGGTGTAGAGATATCAAGTGAAGAGTGTGAAAATGAGGACGAGAACATGACAACTGATCCTCTACACGAAGGTTGTAGCGGGAATTTAAGAAAAGGTTATGATGCGTTTGAAGACTTCTGTTTAAGGTTTTGGTGGAAATCTATCAAATCGTTCGATCGTGAAGAATATCGGAACATCTTCCGGGCACATACGTTGGTAACAGCAGTACTTTGTATTTCGTTCTTCTATTATGATATAGTATCTGATACTTTGTTGGCTATACAGTATTACAATGACGGTAATTTTAGAGCTTTTATATTTACTACAGCGTTTATTGCCCTTCCACTTTTTGTTGTCAACGTAATGAATATCTATCTTATTATAAACAGAAAACATTGTTCGTGGGAGGATTCCAAACAATTCTTTATATCAAATGGAAAACAAATTAAAATAACACAATGCATTAAAGCAAACGAAAAAACAAAAGAAATAAACGCACAACGAAAGTTCAAGGTCAAAAATGAAAATAATAATGTTGAGGAGGACGAGTCGAGAGAAGCTGATGATGATGGCAATGTTTCTGGACCATTAGCAAAGACATTAAGATGTCTCGTTTCGTTTCCATTACTCTCTGGTACCGTAGACAGAACCTTTACACATATTTATCATGGAATAAAGAGCAGGTCAAAATTCACAAATGATGAGATGCGCAAAAAACACTACACATACAGTTTGGAAAACAATGCAGCCGAAACAAGATTGAAAATTATTGAGGCTTTTATGGAGGCAACCCCGCAGCTAATGCTTCAGATATATTTTACTTTGACAGCACCAGTAGATGAAGATATCAGTACACAAATGTTTCGTGCAGCATCAATGCTCGGATCCTGGATAAGTGTAACAGCTTCAGTTCTAGCTTATACAAACGCTATGTATGATCTAACTGAAAACAAAGTATCAGTGGTATACAGATTTCTGCGATTTGTCCAAACTGCATCTGGAATTGGATTAAGAATAGTGCTTATTCCAATATTCACTGTAGAATTCAGTTACTATGTAATTGTAATTGTATTCTCTCATTGGTTGCTTATGGTAGTCACTCTGTTGTACAGAGAATGTACACGTAAATCCTCAAGGATAAAGAGTCAAAGAAAAGCAGTCTTTCTTTCTATTTTCAGCTACAGGAGTGTTATTTTAATTTTCACGTCTGCGACTACTGCAAAACGCCACCTTGAATCCATTAGAGGAGAAATGCTGTATAATTTTCTTGTTTATGCTGAAAATTTAACCATGTTTGCTCTTTGGATCAGTACAACTTTGATAACTGGACTCTATTACAATGTAATCATAAGATTTATAGCAACATTAGAAGGTTTGAGAGTAGGGTCATTTTTAATTAGACACTTGTACAAATGTATGTGTGCAAAACAAAAATTGGGAAATGATCTTTGACATCTGTATCTTACATATATAACAATCTTCGAGAATACCATTAAAGTGTTATTTTATGATAAAAGAGATGATTTTTCATTTCCTATTGTTAATCATAAATTTTTAGATGATGACGTTCCCTTGTCACCATCTTATGGTGTTTATATATCTCAACTTGTACGATTCGCTGGTGTATGTAACAACGTATGAGATTTTAGCGAAAGAAATCTATATATTACTAAAAATTATTACACCAGGGTTTTCGATATCACAAACTAGTCAAAACATTTACTAAATTTTATCATCGGTACAAGGACATCATTCGGAAATATAAATCAACATGCAGACATCTTTACGGTTAAGGTATTTCACATCCGATCTTTTATGGTAATATTCTTTACAAAGCACAAAAATGTCGGCATTCACCTCAAAAGCTAACAAAACCTTTAAACAGACTTATTAAGAAGGGATATAGTTACGATACTGTTGTCAGGTCATTAAAGATGGCATATTTTGGCTTCAATATTGATTCACTTATAGGGTCTTTGCATCGGAAATAAACACATTTATTCTAAAACCAGTTGTTGGCATGATACGGGTTATGTTCTTCTCATATATTTTATGATCGTATGATACTCAACCCCTAACGGGAGGGATTGTGCTTAATATTCATATGATGAAGACATAATCTTTCAATCAGTTTAATTGAGGTCTGGAGCTGGCATGTCAGTAACTACTAGTAGTCCTTTGTTAATTTATGTATCATTATCGTTTTGTTTAGTTTCTTTTGTTACCTTTTCTGACATCTGACTAGGACTTCTTTTAAACTGGGTTTTACTGTGCGTATTGCTGTGTGTTTTTTCTACATTGGCTAGAGGTATAGGGGCAGGGATGAGATCTCAAAAAACATGTTAATCCCCGCCGCATTTTAGCGCCTGTCCCATGTCAGGAGCCTCTCGCCTTTGTTAGTCTTGTAAGATTTTTAATTTTAGTTTCTTTTATATATTTCGGAGCTTAGTATGAATTCCATTATCACTGAACTAGTACACATTTTTTATTTAGGCGCCAGCTGTAGCACGCCTTCGGGTGCGGGATTTTCTCGCTGTATTGAAGACCCACTGGTGGCCTTCGGCTGTTTACCGCTCTTTGGTCGGATTGTTGCTCTTTGACACATTCCCCATTTCCATTCTCAATTTTATATTCGTTTTCATTTAAGTATAATACTGCATAAATTACCAGTTTATAACCATACTATTTCACGTACATCATTTTTATTAGGTTAACGCGTGTAGGTGTATATTCCGTATTTTTTATATTATCTATCTTTCCTTGTTTTGTTATTGATATGGGCTTATTATCATTATTTATTTCTATTATTATTTATTTCTTTTATATCATTTATTCATATCATTATGGCTTTTATTTTTTGCTAAGGTTGCTTTTCCGAATATTTTGAATCTCCATACATAATCAAGAAAGTGTTTTCGATGAGACAAACATTCTTTTCCGATTAGAACATTACAGAATGCGACTTATCGCAGAAAATTTTTCAGACGGAGAGGAAACTGTTTGTCTGTGCGGAGCACATTAACAAATACTTGATTTTGAGTTGGTTTCGTGTTCTTCAATTTTTGGCGATTCTATGTAATGTATTGTCATTCTAGTTTATCCGTTTCCTCAATCTTTTTTGGCATATATTGTGGTGTATTATACATTTGAATACTCTTTAGTTACTATATTTTTAAACAATCAATTCTTATACAGATATAAAAAAATAGTCATCTTAGTCTTAAATACATGATTTTTTTTATTTAAGGAATGACTGTAATATTTTTTGTCTATTCGAAATAACATAAAAAATGTGGTGCACACTGAATAACCCGCATAGCGGGTTATTTAAAGTGTACACCACATTTTTGGTGTTATTTCGAATAGACAGAAAACATATTACAGTCAGTCCTTATAATTTAATTCTAAATTCCATTTTTAAAAAGCCAAGTAAATCTTTAAATAACGTCGATGACGTCCCGTTCACATGACAAAATTATGTCTATGAGCTGATCAGCCAATCAGAAGACGAGTTACATCGAAAATAAAATTATTAGTTGTTACTGGCTTTGAACTAGCTGTCAGTAACTGCGAATACTCTCAGATGTGTACTTAGTATCTTTTTTGTTGTGATGGATGGGGGATGGATATATACCCTGCCACGTCCTTTCTGTGTTTTTGTTTGATGTTTTTCTTTGTATCGACATATGTCTGATGAGTTAAGCCCTTTTTAACTATTTTTTTATAGTTTGTTCTTAAGTTATGCTCTTACACCACTGTCCCAGGTTAGGTGAAGGGTTGAGCGCTCACAAACATGTTTAACCGCGCCACATTCTTTATGTGCCTGTTATATTTTTTTTCATAAATTGTTTTGTTATTAACTAGGTCGTTAGTTTTCATGTCGGAGCCTTTTACAGCCAACTATACGATATGTTTGTTTGTCATTGATGTACGATTGCCTATAACTGCTTGCATCCATTTTATTTGAACTTCGTTGAATTGTTGACAATTATACCACATATCTTTTTTTATAATCATCAACATAGGTTTTAAATCTTGCTTGATTTATGACGTTCAGATTTAAGAATACGAATTAGATATTGTTGAACTAATTTTAATAAAATGCTGCTAGCAATGTTGATCTTATCATTTTTGATATCATTGAACAGGAAAAAAGAGGCGAAAGATACCGTTAGGGACATTCAAACTTATATGTCGACAATTAACTAACAACGCCATTGCTAAAAAAGAAAAAGACACACAACATTACACAAAACACAACATAGTAAACTAAAAACTGAGCATTACAAACCCCACCAAAAACTGGAGATGATCTCAGGTGCTCCGGAAGGGTAAGCAGATTCTGCTGTATTTCCCAGATACAGTTAAGTATACTTCACATTTTGACCTCGATGCTCGTTTGAGACCAAAACTGAGGGTGACCCCACCAAAAACTGGAGATGATCTCAGTTGCTCCGGACGGATAAGCAGATCAGGCTGTATTCCCCTGATACAGTTACGTCTGCTTAATGTTTTGACCTCGATGATCGTTTAAGACCAAATTTAAAACTTGTGGAATAATCAATGGCTTTATATATAATGAACTTCTCGTTAAATGCTGCATGTTGAATGTATTTCTAAAGAATATGATAGCATAGATTTTTTCCCTCTTATGTTTATTTTCTGATAGATAACCAATTGCTATTGAAGATGAGTATAAAATCGAAGGTTTCAGGATAGCCATCATGACTTCGTTACCGTCATGGAATGCTTGAGTCCTAAATAATCACGGTGATACAGTCACATTCAAGTAGGTCTCGACACATTTATGATTTACAACAGAACCCCACTAGTGAGAAAAGCATTGATCCATCCTCCAGAGAACCCCTCCATTTTTTTAAGGAATTGATTTATTTTTCAAGTGGTTTTGAGTGAAGTATATTATGCCATTTTATTATTTGAAGCTTCTTTTGAAGTGCAACCTTATTGTGTATTTTTTTTTTTTGGAAAGTAATGTTCCTTTTGGTCCCTTCTTACGGCTTTTATATATTTAAATCCGTTCGCTCTTTCCCCATAATTAATGACGTTAACTATGTATCGATATATGTCTTATATAGATGTAACGTGCGTCAAAGTATTTAAAGCCAGGTATCTTCACTAGATATGACTGAGCTGAGTCGGATAGAAATTGACCTTATGCAAGTGCACGTATACATGTACATGTATGTATAAGACTATGATTGATTTTAAAAGATTCAAATACGAAATAAAAGATGAATTTTTGTCTGTTCTAGTGGGTTCCTATAACAACTCACTTTTTCAAAAAGTTACAGACGGTTCGTATATAATTTATCAACCCGAAATAAGTTAACAAATGTATTGATATTCATAAGCACAAGATCTACTTCTATCCGACGCAGCTCATTATTTTAATGCAATACAGTTTTTAAAGTCTTTCGTTTGGGTAGGAAGTTCTGATATCACAAACGACTGTTTTATAGAGCTTAAACAAGTAGTAAATCAAAGGTTCTCAATTCAACATTCTAGTAGGATCCAAGCAAACGATTATAGAAATAAGAACTTTACTTCACTTTCATCTCATAGACTTCCATGTCCCCTTCAATGATATACCAAACTGTTTTCTTTAATCTTAGATCATTTATTTGTTATTCGACACAATTTATGTTTATAATCATTCAGAAGATATATGCTTAATATGTAACTGAAATTAAATTTCAAAGATGAAGCAGACGAAAATAAAGTGTATGTTGCGACTTAGATAAAAGTACAAAGGAGTTTTTCATTTCAAATGACAAGTATTAAATGAATAGGGATGGTAAAATAACTTCGCACTAACGTGCTCAGGCGTATTAACCATACCCGCACCTACCGAGTTTAATTCAACGTCAGAATAAAGAGATAATCTCGGGATTTTGTAAACATAAATAAAACAAATATTCAATTGGACAATACAATTCTTTTTTGTAAACACATGAAGCTGACATCAACATTTTCAGTCAGGGTATGCAGTTTGAAGTCATTAATCATCTGATAAGAATAAAAATAATGCACGGTGTACATAATTCATCTGAGTGTTTATTTAGTGCACTGCATGTGCAGCATCCTCATCCTATGTGAATGCAAAATAATTTCAGACGGCAAAACAAAAGACAAAAATACAAACTCCTCCTTTATTGTGCTTATTGTCTGACAATATGATATTTTCTATTTTGAAATGAAAGACTGGTTATACATTCTATTGTGCTGTGTCTAGTATCCCAGTCATTACTGACGCCAACGGATTACATAAACCAAAAAAATTGAAATGCTACATTATATATAATGATGAAGACTACACTGTTCACGGGAGACAGTTGAACATAGGAACAGATAAACATGGACTGTGTAAAGATGATTCTGACTTTAACTTTACTGGTACTGTTAAAGGAAAGCAAAGGAACGCCACGATGGACGAACAGAGCTTATTATCCATGTAAGTCATGTTTAATTTTTGAAATAGGTAGTTTACAGTTGATATAAATGTGAAATACTTCATAATTTTTTTTAATATGACAATTTGTTTATTTTCATATAACTTGCTTTCAATTTTGGCCTTTAATGCTCTTCAACTTCTTACTTTATTTGGACTTTTTTAAATTGTTCATTCGGCGTCACTGATGCTTCTTTTGTAGACAAAACGTGTGTCTGGCGTACAACCTTTTAATCCTGATATTATCTATAATATTATTTGTTTGCGCCTGTATATGTAAGGATTGATAAGATATTGTAACAAAGTGACCACGATTTGAAACAATGTTGATGGTCTTCTACTCACGTTAACTTTCCATTCATAAGTAATAACGTTCTGTCTAATAGAGTTTGTATATTTCAGTTGATAAGATATCCTAGCTTACATTATGTCAATTTCATCAACCAAAAAAATACACCAGCATGTTTGTGTGGGTGACCGACTGAACATATCACCACATGTGGGTGACCGACTGAACATATCACCACATGTGGGTGACCGACTGAACATATCACCACAGAAGTCCTTTGGTCTTTAAACAAAAAAGATACTTGATACTAGTAGCGGAAATGCCAAGTTCATGTCGCATACCAAAGTAGTCCACTAATGTCATTCTGATATTGTTTTATTAAATGGTCCGGGGTTTGACACCCAATCCTATATGCGACTAAAGAATCATTTGACGGATGATGCGTGAAGATTAAAAATGATTCGGCAATGCCCCTTTATTCTTTGAGGGGACTTAGTTTCCTTTCTCGTGACACAATTTTTTATTTTATCTTTGATTAAGAAAAACATGTTTTTTTCAAGAATAAACACGGTTGAGAAAGGAGAGGTTGGTTAATGCGCAGGTTAAGCTAGTTATACCAAGCTGCAGGTTAAGCTGGTTATACCAAGCCGCAGGTTAAGCTGGTTATACCAAGCCGCAGGTTAAGCTGGTTATACCAAGCCGCAGGTTAAGCTGGTTATATCAAGACGCAGGTTTAGCTGGTTATACCAAGCCGCAGGTTAAGCTAGTTATACCAAGCCGCAGGTTAAGCTGGTTATACCAAGCCGCAGGTTAAGCTGGTTATACCAAGCCGCAGGTTAAGCTGGTTATACCAAGCCGCAGGTTAAGCTGGTTATACCAAGCTGCAGTTTGATCCGTCACCAAGTAGTTTATCTGGACTTGTTAGATGTTGTTTGATTTGTTTACTGTCTGTCAGATGTTAGAAATTGATGTTCTCTTTTGTTGTTTGTGAAATTCTTTGGTGGTTCTTTAGTGTAATTCTATCTGTTTTCGTTTATACAAATCAATACGTCAAGTCCTTAATGGCAATACGATATTCAAATTGAACTTATTGTTTTAGCTTGGATGTGGCAACATGTAAAGAGAAGTGAAACAGTACAGGGCATTAGAGATGACAGTTATCAAGGAAATCATAACTACTCACAGTGCTTCAAGGATTTGGTCATTGAACTATTTCATAGAGGAGAACACATAAAACCGCTTGTTGTAGATGGAAGTAAGTGCATTGTTAAATATTTTACATTTTTTCTTATGTTGTGCTGTTATAACACTGTTTAGCTCTTTCACTTTCATTAATTGCCTTTTCTTAATTAGGAGCCTGCTATTGAATGGTTGTCGTTAATTTTTGTCTTCAATATGAAAATAAGAAGATTTGGTATCAATGCTAATGAGACATCTGCCAACAAAGAATGTTTCATATTTTGTCATGCCTGGTCTTTTAACAATTCACTTGTTTAGGCATAAATCAGGCCGTATGTTTTCTCTTTTAAATTATTTCATAGCTTGTTATGCCGGTTCTGGTAAAAGTTTAGGCATAATTCAGGCCGTATGTTTTCTCATTTAAATTATTTCATAGCTTGTTATGCCGGTTCTGGTAAAAGTTTAGGCATAATTCAGGCCGTATGTTTCCTCATTTAAATTGTTTCATAGCTTGTTATGCCGGTTCTGGTAAAAGTCTAGGCATAAATCAGGCCGAATGTTTTCTCATTTAAATTATTTCATATAGCTTGTTATGTCGGTTCTGGTAAAAGTCTAGGCATAAATCAGGCCGTATGTTTCCTCATTTAAATTGTTTCATAGCTTGTTATGCCGGTTCTGGTAAAAGTCTAGGCATAAATCAGGCCGTATGTTTCCTCATTTAAATTGTTTCATAGCTTGTTATGCCGGTTCTGGTAAAAGTCTATAGGCATAAATCAGGCCGTATGTTTCCTCATTTAAATTGTTTCATTGCTTGTTATGCCGGTTCTGGTAAAAGTCTTAGCATAAATCAGGCCGTATGTTTTCTCATTTAAGTTATTTCATAGCTTGTTATGCCGGTTCTGGTAAAAGTCTAGGCATAAATCAGGCCGTATGTTTTCTCATTTAAATTATTTCATAGCTTGTTATGCCGGTTCTGGTAAAAGTCTAGGCATAAATCAGGCCGTATGTTTTTTCATTTAAATTGTTTCATAGCTTGTTATGCCGGTTCTGGTAAAAGTCTAGGCATAAATCAGGCCGTATGTTTTTTCATTTAAATTGTTTCATAGCTTGTTATGCCGGTTCTGGTAAAAGTCTAGGCATAAATCAGGCCGTATGTTTTTTCATTTAAATTGTTTCA